GGAGGGAGGGTGGCACGGAGCTTGGAGTCACAGGGGCAGGAGGAAGCAAGTGCCAGCCAGGATAGGGGACAGGCCCCAGGGGAGGCTGGAGCCTAGAGCGGCGGACCAGACAGCGCCGAGGCAAGGCGGGCTGTGAGCTGCAGTCAGCCAGGTCCTGCCTCTGAGCCCCTGGCTGCCCCACTCTCCTCTGTCCCCGCGGCACCTGACAGGACGTCTGGCATTTGGGTAGCTGGGTTCAGGAAAGAATAGAGAGCCTGGGCCGGAATGGGGGGGGGGGCGCCCAGTGCAGCTACAGTCCAGCTTTGTGACTTCCGGCAAAATCAACTCTATGAGCCTCAGTTTCTGTAAAATGGGGATCCTGATTTCACAGTCAAGTATTGATAACATTCTGTAAAGCCTAGTACCAGGTGTAAATGATGCTCAGGAGATATGTGCTGAACTCAGTTGGTCAGAATTAAAAGGAGATTTTTAATGTTTTAGAATCCAAAATCCCCAGCGCCATGTGGGAAGGAGGCCTGTTGAACTGCCTCTGCCCCAGTTTCTCAGACTCAGGACTTCTCCCTCTGTGCCAGGAAGCCTCAGGGCCACTAGAGGGTGCTCCTTGCAGCTTCAAGCCTGGGTGTGAGCATGTTCCTGGGGCACAGAGCTGCTCCCAGGAACCTCTATCTCTGGCCATTGACTTCTGCTCTCCACGCTGACTTATGGCCCTGATTTCCCCCAGGCACCATCCCCATTCTTGGGGCACAGAGTAATGTAACCCAGACTGGAGAGCCTCCTATCTCCTCTGCCCATCACTTCACCTTAGACCCTACCAGTCCCATCTTGGAGAAGGGAGAAAGAAAGGGGAAGCAGTCACCTCCCAGATAGGGCCAGACAAGAGGGATGGGGAATTTTTAGAAGTTACTGGAGTTGCTAAATCTCTCAGGGCTCAGGGCTCACAGGCCAGTGATGGAAGAGAAAGGCAAGTAAGAAAATATATTCACACACTTGCATAGACCCAGAGAAATGAAGTAACACAAAAAGATACAAACACACAGAGAAAAACAGAGAGGAAGACAGAGGGAAAGACACTCTGCTTTCCCACCACAGAGGAAAGCAATCTGATCAAACAAATCCACTCTGCACCCTGCTCTCCAGTGTCAACCCGGTTTGTCACCCCCCTGTCCAAGGGAATAGCAAGCCTACAAAAATATAAGAAAAAAAAAAAGGAAAACTGCTCAGCCCTGGGATGCCTTGCTTGCCCCCCCTTTTTTGGGGGGTGTAAATAAGCATTTGAATGTGTTTTGTTCTAGGAGCTGCAAGGCCAGCACAAAGGGAGCTCTTTCTCATGCAGGGCCTTCTGTAGGGCCCTCCCTCTGCCCTGTCATCCCGCCATCCTCCCACCAGCTGAGGTGGCCTTCCATCTTCTGCTGGCCCAAGTCAGGATCCCTCTTGTTTAAAGAATCCTAAGAGCCACCTTGACTTTTCCAAGTTAAACTGCAGCCTGAGATGAAATCAGTCTTCCTCTTCTTCAGCGGATTGCTTTATTGAACAAGAGAGAATGGGGTGGGGGTGGGGCTGCAGAGCAAGCAAGAGGCAGGTGCAAGGATGGGCGTTAACCAAGCACCTCCATCCACACCAGTTTCCCAGGATGAAAAATTTGCTCTTCTTCAAGCTTGGCACCAAGTAGGAAAAAGTCCAGGCACCGGGCCTCTCCTTCCTCTCTGCTTGTGGGTCCCCAGTCACTTGCTGTTAGAGTGGCCTCCTGGGCCCCTTATCACTTACAGGCTGCCTCCAGTTCCCACGTGGAGGCGGGGGTGAGGCTGTCCAATGTGGCTGCAGCTCTTCCCGGGAGGGAACCCTGGTCCTCCAAAAGTTTTCTCTTCCCTCCCCTGGCCATTCTGGGCTCCAGTCATGAAAGCCTCCCCTCTCTGGTCTGGAAATGGGTAAATGACGCGTAATTTATGAGCACCTCAGCCCAAAGTGCATAAGTCATATGTGCACAAAGCAGCCGGGTAAATATTTAAAGATTAGAGCCAGCTGGGGAGAAACACAAAAGGCTGGGACAATGGGGGTCTCTCTGGATTCACCCTCCTGGAGCTGGGCCAGCCGGGTTCAGTGTTGATGCACTCACCAGAGTCCCAGCCTTTGTCCCCTGGAGGACCCTTGGCTGCAGAGCTATTTGGAGTCCCAACACAGCTAAAGAGAGTTAAACAATCGAAGCCTCTCCAACCCCATCTGGAGACAATTGGCTGAGTCATTCCAGTGCTTTTGCTGTGTCCCAATAGTTAATTACACGGAGCAATCACTCCATTCCACTTTGAAATGCATCTGTGGAGGGGAACGGTGCATTTCTCCCACCAGTCACCACACCCCAAGTAGGCTTCAAAACATTCACCAGTGAGCATTGCTTTAAATGCCCCG